GGATAACGCGGTAGAATATTGCACACTAAATCAAGTAAGTAGGTCGAGGGCTCGACACCTCAAACACCTACAATTTAAGCGAGATAATTTATCAATAATCTATCTCACTTCTCAAATTTAACATAAAACCCATACTTAATAAAATTTAAGATTTAAGGGTTTTAATCGAATTTTTCGTGGATTTGGAATTCTCTCATTTTTGAAAAATAAGACTCGGGAACCAAAATTAGAGTCTCGGAACTTAAAATAATTTTCCCAAATTTTTCTCATTTTGAAAATATTTTTAAAATAGAAATTGGTGCGAAAAAACGGCTCTAAAACATAAAATAAGCGTAAAAAGTCAAACTGGGCTGACTGCTCAAACGCTGGCCCAAGATGCCAGCATTTTGGGCCATGCGCGCCTAATTGGGCCGCGGCTGAGGAGAGATAGGCCCAATACATAGCCTGCCAAGAGAACAAGGGCGCGGGCCTTCGAGCTAGGTCACGGGCTCGCGGGCCTTGACTGTTGCGGGAGTGATCGGGCCGCGCGCGGGCTGGGCGGGCCGCGCGCGGGCTGTAAAGGACTGGGCTGGAAAAATATGACAATATGGTCTTCAAAGGCAGGGTTCGAACACGGGACCTAATGCCCAGAACCTAGCTTAATCACCACTGCACCAATTCGATCTGTCATTCTTTAACACGAAATAAAATGATACTGAGATTCAAAAATGAGGCCTGCGAATTTAACATACTGAACAGAGCTTGGAACATTTTAACAGAAGCCATGAAGCTGCGAGCAAACTGACAGAAATTATCGAACTCGACTAAGACATTTCTAGCGGAAACGAGATTCGAGTTATCATCAACAATAACATATTTTTCAGAGTTCCGAAATTTAATAAAATGGGTTTATAAGGATCGAAAATAGAAAACAGCATAACCGGCCCCAACCGATCTCATATATACAATCAACGACTCGGACATATAATCGATATCTGAATTCGAACGAATTCATCAAAGTTGCAATAAGACTCGATTTATACGATAAACGAGAGTTACGATAATCCACGAATAATTCACGAACACAAACCAAGAATGAATAAACGAACCGATAGAAAAACCAAACACTTAACAAGAAATCGATTCAAAGAGTACGATTATATTCCACGAATATACATAGAAATATAACGAGGAGGTTCTAAAGATTACCCGTCTTCGGGAATCTACGAGCTATCGGAAAGCGGGTTGGACAAACGGGGTGAACGGAGGCTCGACGGAATGCAACTCTGAACACGGGGCTAAGGGGACTCCTCGCGAACAACAACTCGCTGGATTGGACGCCGGTGAAGAGTTGCAGGTCGCCGGGGTTATTCGCCGGTAGTGGAAGGTTTCGCCGACTTTAATGGTGAACATCAGTTGCTGGCTCGAGTGGACGAACAGAAAGCTGGAACACGCCTACGAGGCGGTACTTCCCACGGATCGATATCGAATACCAAACACGTACATACATGATTTCGAATAACC